TATCCGCACGAACGCTAGGTACCTAGTTGACACCGGTGCCCAAGTTTCTGTCGTACCATTAGGTAGCAGCAAGTTACAACCTACAATAATTCGATTACGCGCTGCGAATGGCACTGTCATTCCTACCTATGGTACACGACAGCTATCGGTCAACCTGAGCAACCGACGACAGTATCTGTGGACGTTCATCATTGCCGATGTTCCCACAGCTATACTCGGTATCGATTTCCTGCAGCACTATGAATTGCTAGTCGATTCACGTAGGCTGCAGCTAATCGATACTTCGTCGAACAGCAAATTTATGGGCTTTCGAGCTCATACAAATGCGTACTGAATAACAGGTTTATTTCATTCGCGTGATGACATTTTCCACGCTTTATTCGAAAAATTCCCCCAATTAACTAAACCACTCGAGGATACTCCGTCGGTGACCCGACATGTGGTACACCACATCGTCACCCGCGGACCACCAGTCACGGCAAAGCCTCGCCGACTGGCACCGGACAAATTAGTTTTCGTTAAACGTGAGTTCGACAATTTACTAGCTACTGGTATTATTCGTCCTCCTCACAGTCCATGGGCCTCACCACTCCACATGGTTCGAAAAAAGGATGGGATAAGTTGGCGACCATGTGGCGACTACCGAGCACTAAATGTAGTCACGCGTTTCGATAGTTACCCCATCCCCCACATACACGACATCACGGCATCACTCAAGGGCACGACTATCTATTCCAAGATCGATCTGGTACGGGCATACCATCAGATCCCAGTCGCTCCTGAGGATATTGAGAAAACTGCTGTCACGACTCCTTTCGGTCTGTTTGAGTTCCTACGAATGCCATTTGGATTACGGAATGCTGCTCAAACTTTCCAGAGGTTTATCGATAGCATAGTACGAGACTTTGATTTTGTTCACGTCTATATTGATGACTTGTTAATCGCATCATCAAACGTAGATGAACATTATCAACATCTTAAACTCTTATTCCAACGTCTTTCGGATAATGGAATACTAATCAACCCAGATAAGTGCGAACTTGGAAAAGCAGAAATAAAATTTCTGGGTCACGTTATAAAGCATGAGGGTATTTTGCCATGTGAAGATAAAGTACGTACAATCACCGAGTGCACTGTACCGTCTTCACTCAAAGAACTGAAGGCTTTTCTCGGTTTGGTCAACTTCTATCGACGTTTCATTCCTCACGCCGCGGAACAGTTACGACCACTAACCGATCTACTTCGCGGGAATCCACGTAAGCTAGAATTGAAAGATGACGCACGTACTGCATTTTCCGAAATTAAAAAAACTTTAGCTCAAGTTACGCTCCTCGCCCATCCCGACCCATCAGCCACGCTCAGTATAGCGGTTGATGCATCCGATTTCGCTATAGGAGCCGTCATGCAACAAAACATCTCTGGAAGTTGGCAACCTCTCGAATTTTTCTCACGACGCCTTACTACCACGGAGATGAGATATAGCGCTTTTGGTCGCGAACTGCTAGCAGCCTACTGTGCCATCAAACATTTTCGGCACGCAGTAGAAGGTCGTAACTTTATCCTTTTTACCGACCATAAGCCCCTAACGTATGCTCTTCATACAAAATCTGACCGCTACTCACCACGAGAGTGCAGACATTTGGACTATATCTCTCAGTTCACGACAGACCTTCGTCATATTAAAGGCGAGTCGAACTACGTTGCTGATGCTTTGTCACGTATTCAAATGAATGCAGTTACTTCACCAGTGCTCGATCTTCCTGCTATGGCCGTCGCCCAAGCAAACGATCCTTCTTGTTCCGAAGCACAACAGAATACATCCCTTCAGTGTCAGGAAGTGCCCCTAGCTACTACCTCAGGCACTATCCTATGTGATACCTCTAATGGTCTTCCTCGACCCATCGTACCCTCTGCTTATCGTCGTCTCGTCTTCGATGCCCTTCATGGTTTGTCTCATCCAGGTATCGCAGCTACATTACGTCTTATCGCTGCACGATATGTCTGGCCTTCCATGAACAAAGATGTCCGTATGTGGGTAAAGCAATGCTTACAATGTCAACGATCAAAAGTGCACAGGCACGTAGCCGCCCCCATCGGCACATTTGCTACGCCTGATGCTCGCTTCGATCACGTTCATATTGACATTGTAGGACCATTACCACCATCGCACGGGTATGATCACATACTCACGTGCATTGATCGCTTTACAAGATAGCCCGAAGCTATTCCCATCACTTCTATTACGGCGGAAACAGTTGCTCACAGCTTCGTAGAACGATGGATAGCTCTGTACGGTTGTCCCTCGACTGTCACAACTGACCGAGGACAACAATTCGAGTCCGAACTATTCTCCTCGCTAATTCGGCTGCTTGGTACGGAGCGCATACGCACTACCGCCTACCACCCAGCTTCAAATGGTTTAGTCGAAAGGTTTCATCGCCAACTCAAAAACGCTCTTCGAGCACACGAAAACAATAATTGGTATGAAACTTTACCGCTTGTCCTTCTAGGCATCAGAACGAGCTTAAAGGCAGATATTCAATGTTCCGCCGCTGAATTGGTATACGGCACGACATTGCGTCTGCCTGGGGAATTTTTCACACCACGGAGCAGTGATAACTTCAATAAATCAGACTACGTCCAACGACTGTCTGCATTTATGCGAGCACTGCCTCCGGTGTCAACTCGAGTACAACATCGACAGGTCGCTCTCCCCCGAGAGTTATCTACCTGCTCACATGTTTTCATTCGAGTCGATTCGGTACGCAAACCTTTGCAACAACCTTAGGAAGGACCTTTTCACGTGATTTCTCGTCACGAAAAGACCTTCAAGGTTGCTCGACATGGCCGCGTCGAGACAGTCAGCATTGATCGTCTCAAGCCAGCACACGTCGATGACAGCGCCCTACTTGCTAATCCAAGACCCAATGCTAGACCTAGCGGGATCCTCAAAACTACCCCGGATCCCACGCTAGCGAAATCAGAAACCTCATTCTCACGTCCTTTTTTTTTTTTTTTTTTTTTTTTTTTTTTTTTTTTTTTTTTTTTTTTTTTTTTTTTAGATCAGCAGACCACGCCGCACTTGACTGCGGATGAGAATGCAGGCTCACAAGGTACGCACGAGGCTACTGTCTCGCGTTCCGGTCGCCGCGTACGCCTACCTGTACGCTTTCTCGAATAACTACCAATCTTTCACAGGGGCGGAATAGGATTTTACCATCATACTACACGCATGCTACACTCTTTCTCCTTTTCTTTGATTTTTTTTATCCCGAGCCTATACTCCCGACCATTGCCCTGTTGGTACCGTCGACTTCAGTCAACCTTGGCGAAAGCTGGCCTGATCACCCACGCTCTAGTCAATGCACTCAGTCGATTTTCTGGTTACGAATATATCTGGTATACGAATGGTTTCGCACTGGTCGTTTATGGCTTTTTCGCTCAATCTGGTTCCGTCCTACGTCTGCAGCTTTATTTGGTCCGGACCCCTATGAACGCAATTATCAGACACTGGATACGAGCCACGCTGGTGTGGTATGCTAACCCGATGGACGAACTTGGCGCGTAATTATTGGCACGGCAGCGGACAAACTCCCGGTGACAACTCGAGCTTCATCAGTCGCTTCCTGTCGTCAACCATTCTGCCCGTTAACCGAACATTGGCCGACGAGTCCCCTGAACGAAGCCGCTACATATCGAAAGTGTAAAACCCTTTCTAGGGGGGGGGGCTCCTGTGGTGGAACTATTTCGTCGAAATAATACGACTACTGACGTACAAATACTTATTATTGAACATATGTAACATTAACTGTTTTATTGTATATCATTTGTTTATTTATACTAAAAGTCACTTAACGAGCACCACCCACGCCGCCCCTGCGGATCTAACGATCGTATCGTGTAATCATCGATTGTACGAGCTGAACACATGATATTATTCTAATATCACTCGACTTTCTATTAATAAACGTCGATATCCTAAATACAATCTTCTGTTCTGGATTTCGTTTGGACGTGTAACCTTCACGTCTCAACAAGGTAACCACAGCACCCTCAGTAGACAGCTTTAAGAAGGGACTTGATAAACACATACTCACATACGGATCATCATCTCCCTCACGGACAAGCTCTACCTGATGCATGCCTTGAGACTGGCTAGTTATTAATAATTCCATCTCCTCAAATCACTAACTTAATCTATCTCGCCTATTATCTCTGTTTCCTCTCCCTTGCTTACATTTCGGCCCTCTCTCACATTCCTCACTACCAAATATTAAACTAAATTATCCATTGATTTACTTAGTTCTGAAATCCTCTTCTTATTAGCATTAGAATTTTCTCCTTAATTTTCTGCACATTACAATTAACTGATCTCCGGTCCAGTAGTGTGATAGCTGCTGGTATCCAGAAACCCTACTGTCCTGAAACTAACGTATTCATTCAGATCACGGGACATACAAACTCACAACCAACTTTCAAGTGACTAGAATTAGACAGTCGAGTGGCTAGACTAACACCCACCGGATACAACCAAACAACTGTAACCGTACAGAGAAAACAAGAACCAAGTGCAAAGAAATCAATGGGTTTATATTAGCTCATGAAAAAGATATTGGATATTGCATGCTAAACTTCAAGGATCATGTATTGAGTAATCGATATCATTACAAACTCATTTTTCTGTGAAGTGCTGAGAGACTTGGCTTCAAGGAGAGCGAAAAGTCTATCCTTCTTAGTCATCACTGCAATTCAGTGATAGTAACAAACCTATGTAGGAAAGATACATTATTTCAACAAAGCACTTAAATATGCATCACTGTATTTTCTAAATTATTTATAGAAGTTGTAGGAGTAACTACTTATCCAAGACGTGAAAACTGGAGGCTTTACGTGAACCAATAAACTATTTCGATCTCTTACATAAACTTAGTTCAATTTTAAGGAAAAGGATTTTGCCGAGATATGTTCATTGTTTTTTCTCACCAGCTTCCATTAACGCCATTTCAAGGTCTTCTTCTCAGCGCATCAAATAAAAGCTTTTGGAAATGTCAATGCAAGAGTTCTCGGATAATTTATCTACTTTGTCATACATGTCCCGACGTCGTATTCCAACATGGGTATATGATTCTAAGAAAAAAACTCTTTTCGGTCGCACATGTTGTAGCTGGAGTGAGTTTGACATTAGGTATCTAACATTTCTAGCACTTTGCATTTTGTTCTACTTGATATATTATGCTTTCCTGGCCACATTCTTCACATGTTTGCTGTGGTTAGTATTGTATTTTAATGCCCCAGAGAACCAACCGGCCAGAACAGGAGCTCAAAGTTTATTGGATTTTAAGCCAGGTATTTTTCAGTATGTATTTTATAAATTTTGTCATAAGGTCTTGGATTCCGTCCACTTTTGGATGTTCAAAAATCACTCATTCATTATTCTACTGGAGATCCACAAACATATCTACAATATACTCAAAATATTGACGCATTCTTAGATACGTACAATCAAGTTAATGCAAAACCTGACAGTCAGTTTGCCAGTTGTAAAGGCAAAGAAGGAGAGACGAAGGACGTAGATAAAGTGTGCAAGTTTCCGCTTAAAAGTCTAGGACCTTGTAACACTGACAATAATTATGGTTACGATAAAGGAACACCCTGTGTCATGCTTAAAGTAAATAAGGTGAGTAGCTTGATGCCCATCTTATTGGATACAAACAATATATTTTCCTACGTTATTATAAATGAATAATCTAACCAGTTTATCTTTTCAGTCTTGCAAGCCAAAAACTATAAAACTCTCTAAGGGTATTCAAAACTCTAAATGTTCAAAGAATGTATTATGCAATAGAAATCTAGTTGATATCAGTAGTCTCAAATTATCATTATAGTTTGGTTTTCTTTCGAAATTATATTATACCGAATGGTTATATATAACTAATTCCTAATAATATTTATTCTATTGTATACTTCTGTACGTAATAGAATGTTTATTTATGACTAAGTGTTAGGTAGTGATATTACGGTTGCTATTTGTAACAGTGATTAGTTATTTATCTTTCGTGTAAACACTTGTTGACTGATTATTGTAAAAAGATTATACTTTGTATTATTTTGCTCCATCGGTCCTCAAGCTTCTGATTCTTTAATATATATGTAGTATAGTAATTTATAAAATCGAAAACACAAATATTACACAGATGTTTTGTCACGTCAGACAAGGGATTTTTTGAGTTAAATTTAACCATATCGTGTATGAAAGCAATAATTATTCCAAGAAAACCGTGGTAGTTTGAGACTAAATGATTTTTCTTACATTCTCCGCACATGCACACCTTCTTATCCTCTTCATATTCGTCCTCGAGTTCTAGAATTACCTAGTTGAATAACTTCAGTATAGTTCATAAGTCATTAAACGTCTCCTAAAATTGGAGTGACCTAAATTTAACTTACTGCAAATGTCACATTAGTAATCATCTTTTGGTTTTTCTGCATACGGTTAACAGATTGGAGGGCTGAGAGAAATCAACCTAATCTTTTGTTTTGTAACAATCTATTTTGATTTTTGTAACACTTTATCCTAGTTAAAAAAAAAACAAGATTAACATGTTTATTGATCAATCGAAATTTCTGTTAACTGGTACTGTAGTGAATGAGAACACAGGTGGGACAACCGAATTGTATTTAGCGACAATTACAGAGTTACTCAGTAAAATTGGAAAACCATATCGTAAATCGTTAATTTGCAAAATATCAGTGCATCATATCGAACTGGACTGTTCCTGTTGTAAAACATCAATCCATTGTCACTATTCATGCGTTTCATACAAATCCCATTGTGTTCCCACTCTTCTTCCTTTCTTGATCTTCCCCCATCTTCTGTTGCCAGACATTACGTTGACATTCACGTCATGTACTACTTATAAGTAGTTCACACCACACTGGCACTTAGTGTCCAGATGGTCTCCCTGAATTCACTTTCTCAGTAATAAATAACCTGGTAAAATGTTGACTATGAGTAGTGATCTCATACTCTTGATGTAGTTAATCGATAATTATTTTAATTTTGTGGCATTTTTTTTCCAATCTCTACAATATTCACTGAAGTACTTGATTTGCATGAAATGAACTATTTTTAATTCAGTAATATTCGTTTCATAAATATCCTTTATTATAATTAATTAACTAAGATATATTTTTTTATAAATTTCACTGAAAAAAACTGAGTAGCACAGTTTATAGAAAATACATTACACCAGCAAATACAACCTAAAAGAAAAGATTATTGTTACTCAGAAAAACAGTTTGAAATATGAACTCATAAAATTATCATTAAATTATTGATAGACATTAAAAAGTTTCAACTATACACAGATAATAAAATTTTTCAAACAATCGTTTTAGTGTTTATTTTATACGTTAACACCATCAATCAATCATTGTTAAACCATCATTAGGAACCTGGAAGCACTGGGGGGCTGTTTCGTCCTGATATGGGACTCATCAGAAGTGCGCACCCACGACTTCTGCACCTCAAAGGACTTAAACCCGGGGCATTCGATCTTGCGCGCAAATGCCTAATCTTTGAACCACTGGGCCGGCATCCAGTGGTGTTAATGTCTAACTCTGATCAATCTAGGGACTTTGCATGGCCTCACCTATTAGACTTTTGTAGTTACTGACTACATCCGATAGGGTTGAACTCCACTGGTCATGTCTTCGCACTAGAACTTCGAGAATTTCCTTACGAAGCTATTCATTAGTGAGTACATTTTTTTTACCAACAAAATAAGTATCTAACAACTTTCTTAATATCTAATTGATAAAGAATTTATTCGGAATTAATCTAAACATAGACAATATGTTGTATATATTTTGCATTGATTGAAAAGTAGTTAGATCTACTAAATTCATGCAGTCATGAGAGATCTAGAACCTCAGTAATAATTATTATTATATGTATATTGATTCAAATTGTCACACTACATCAACACAACAATGAAATTATTAGAACAAATGATAAAGCATTGATGCTTATAGTAGTTCAACCAAATCACTCTTGATGGAGATGCCTTGGAGGACGTTAACACCTTTACATATCTAGGCAGCATCATCAACAACCAAGTTGGATCCGATGCAGATGTGACGGCGCGGATTGGCAAGGGCTGCATTTCTACAGTTGAAAAATATCTGGAACTCCAAACAAATATCAATCAACACCAAAATCAGGATTTTCAATACAAATGTGAAGACAGTTCTACTGTATGAGGCGGAAACTTGGAGAACTACCAAAGCCATCACCCAGAAGATACAAGTGTTTATGAACAGTTGTCTACGCAAAATACTTCGTATTCGTTGGCCAGACACCATCAGTAACAACGTACTGTGGGAGAGAACAAACCAGATTCCAGTGGAGGAGGAAATCAGGAAGAAGCGGTGGAAGTGGATAGGACACACACTACGAAAAGCACCTAACTGCATCACGAGACAAGCCCTTACATGGAACCCTCAAGGTAAAAGGAAAAGAGGAAGGCCAAGGAACACATTATGCTGAGAAATAGAGAAAGATATGAGAGGAATGAACAAATATTGGACAGAACTGGAGAGGGAAGCCCAGGACAGAGTTGGTTGGAGAATGCTGCTGGTGGGCGGCCTATGCTCCATTGGGGGTAACAGGCGTAAGTAAGTAAGCTAATAGTAGTTGTAAAAAACAGTAGAAATAGAAAATAGAGTCAGAACAAAAACTGAGGCAGAATAATATGAACTCTTCATATTTCATTATTTCTTACCAGCTGCTTATAATCGTTTGCATAATAAAGAGTATAATGCGTAGTTGACATTAATATTGGAAGGGATTGAATTAATAAAGAATTATAGAAATAACTTTTCGTATCTGTGTGTGTGTGAACAGGATTGAGGTCATTTAGACAAATAAAATATATAAGGAGGGTTGCAATAGTATTTAAATAAAGTCCGGAAACACATAAGATATGTTGTGTAATAATTATAGAAGTTATTAGAAGCTTACACAAGTTTTAGATCAATTGTCTAGATTTAGCAATTGAAGGATTATGTAAGAAAGATTTAAAGGAGTCCGCGTACGTTTGGAGAAACGAATGTGTGAAAATATGACTTTGGTGTAGATAGAATAAACATTAGTTTAGTAAAAGATTGCATCACAAAATAAACACAAATACAAGTGACAATGATAGATAATGAAAATTACTTAGGTATTGATAAGTTAATTACAGTCTCCTTATAAACACATATATTGAGTTTGTTTGTTAATTGCTATTACTTCAACAACCCTAAGAGATTCTGTGCTTTACTGTCCATTGATGATTTTGAAGAACTGGAAAATGTTAAACAATTTTCCGCTATCCTTTTAATACCAGACTATTGCATTAATTTAGTGTCATTACACTTTCCATTCTCAAAATTATTTGGAACATTCTTAATAAGTGAACAAGTACTGTTCTCTTTGTTCTTCCGACCTATATGTTTTTTGAGCCAGTCAATCAATCAGTCACAGCGTACATGTTAATTGGTAAATGCAGTTAAAGATGCTGAGAAAAAAGGAGTTGTTGATGTTTGTTTAAGTGAGCAGTTGGTTTCACATAATGTTACACGTTTTGCTGTTAGATAAGCAACCTTCAGCTCTGCATTTGGCTTGTGATTATTAGTTACAGTAATTTGGTCTCCTTTGAAGGACAGATAAAAGACACAGGTTTTCTTTTTTAACATATGGGGTTGGCTTGACATTCCTCTTGATATATTTCAGTCGGTATTAGTTCTCACAAAGACAAATGATAATGAAAGCAATTTCATTATCCAGACTTTCTTTAGAGCAAACTTTTTGAGCGCGGTCAAAATGAATTTATACGATCCTCTTTTTGTATCTGATAGAACAAAAGCTGTTCTAGTTTAAATTAACTCTATTCCATGTATCTTTTTGAAAGATATGTCTTTGCAGTTTTATATCTGAATTTCATTTTATTCTGCTTCATGTTCCATGCATTTGATAAAATTTTCATGAAGTCGACCAAAGGTCCAGAGTTCGAATCCTGCGAGTGGCTGGAGTCGTAGATCCGTATTGTTGATGAGTCCCATACCAGGACAAAACAGCTGTTTAGCGTTTCTAGGTTTCTAATGGTAGTCTAATAATGATTTATTCACGATTTCACGACAAAATTCGTTATTTGATTAGTTCCTCTAGAAAATATAGTACTACCAGGTCTAGTTACATTTAGAAATTAGGAATTTAAGTTTAGAATTTAGGATTGGTTTGATTTACATGTTATAAACGATGTGAATAAACAGAATAACAACTGATATATTTAACGCTATCAGTTTTTATCGTTGTGTCAAGTTACTGTGAGTAAATCATCTGAAATGTTGAAAATAAATTTCTAAAGTATTTCTACTGCACGTTTTAAATAATATGTAATGAGTCTATATATATATGTATATATATATATATATATATATATATATATATATATATATATATATATTTCTAGCCCATAGAACTTGTTCTAACCCTTGGACAAATTAATTAATCTATTCTTCCTGAGTTATTCATATGCCTTTTGACCTTGCCAATTATTCGCCCATAACTTTGGTTCTTTTTATATGAGTATGTGTGTACTTGTTTACTTCGCTTATTATATGTCTAGCTTATTATG